CTGTGCCAACTGAAATGGTGACATGTTCTGTTAGTAGGATGTATTGCATTGATGGATCTTCCTATTTTAAACCACCTGTGCACTCCTGCAATTAGCCACAGCATATAATTACTTTAATATGATGCTCAACTGGGTTTTCGAGTGTTTCCTTGAGGATTTTTACATCTAGGCTCATAAAGGAGGAGTGTGTAGTTCTCTTTCCTTGTGCTCTGGCTTTGATACCAGAGTTAATTTTGACCCTGATACAATTATAGGAATGGCACTGAATATTCTGTAGGTTGCTTTGGATTAGGATTGAAAGGGTCCCTCCTCTTCTGTATTTGGAAGAGTGTGAGGATTGATATTAATCTTCTATAGATGTGGGTAGAATTCACCCACAAGGCCTCCTCGTCCTGGACTTTTCTTTGCTGAGAGACCTTTATTGTTGACTCAGTATCTTTGATTTTTGCTCTGTTGAGATTTTCTRTTTGTACTTGAAGTAATCTGTGTGTTTGTGTGAATTTGTCCAGTCCATCTAGTTTATCTAATTTGTTGCCATACACCAAGTGCATAGTATTCTCTTATAATTCCTTTTGTTAGTTTGAAGTCATTAAGTTTTTTTTTTCTTTCTGATTTTGAGAATTCGGGTCTTTTCACTCAAGCTGAAGGTCTTTCTGTTCTGTTGATTGTTTTAGAGAATCTAGTTTGCGTTTTGCTGTTTCCCTCCACTGTTCCTTTATTACTAATCTTTATAATTTATTTCCTTCTGCTAGCTTCAGGCTTGGTTTTCTTTTTCTACCCATATGAACTTTAACATTAGCTTTTTAATTTCTGCAAAGTAGTCAGATGGGATTTGATAGTGATTGTGTAGAATCTGAATCAATCTCAGAAATTTTTCATCTTCAACATGAAATCTGGCATCCTTGAATTTGCAGTATCCTTCCATTTATCTAGACTCTTACAAATTTCTTCCAGCAATGTTTATATCAGAAATCGGATTTTGTACTTTTGTGTTACGTATTTACAGAAGTTTTTGTTTTCTTTTGGTCTTGGGGATGGAACCCAGAGCCACTTAACCACTGAGCCACATCCTCAGCCCTTTTCATGTTTTTTTTTATTTAGAGACAGGGACTCACTAAGTTGCTTAGGGCCTGGCTAAGTTGCTGAGGCTGGCTTTGAACTTGTGTTCCTCCTGCCTCAGCCTCCGGAGCCTCTGGGAAGCAGCTTCATTAGCAGGGCTTCGGGTGGGTTCTGGCATGTGGAGGTGGCACTGGTCACCTGCACAGGTAAACGCAGGCCAGGACAGYGCAGCTGTCACTACCACCTTTCCTGGCCTCACGGGGGGTGGGGGCTGCACACCCCAGGAGTCCTAAGAGAAGTCCACTGAGCAGGTGTCATCTGGGGGACAGGGGAAGGGACAACAGCATGGGCGGGGACGAGGATGGCAGAGAGACAGAGGGTCGGTGTGTTTCCAGTGCCAGCGGGGCCACCTCGTAAGTCTCCACAGTCCAGCTGCAGGCCTGGTGGTAAGTTTAGCGGGGGGGGGGGGGGGGGGGGGGGGGGGGGGGGGGGGATCGCCCCGGGGGGGGATCGCCCCACCACCCCTTCAGCCTCCGCTCCCCAGCTGCTGCGTGTTGGGGGTGTGCACTTGAGGGCCGTGTAGACAGTCCACACGGCCAGGGAAGCTGCAGCACACTCCCACTCACAGTGGGCACCACGCCGCTAGCCTTGGTTTGGAGGCTCACACCCACGCTAGCAGCACGCTCTTTAGGATGGGTCGGCCCTAGTGCGTGTATTTATGTTCTATTTTGAACTCGGGGAGACAGTTGTRTGTTAATAAGTAGCAACTATAATTGCTGTTTTCTCTTAATAACAAAAATGGTGTGGATAGCTAGGAATTAGGGAACTAAGACACTTTCCACGTTTTGTATGTTACCTTGTTTTCAAAAAAAAAAAAGAGAAATTATCAGCCCCTAAGTATTTATTATGTGTTGTGTAGACTTATAAAACGTCCTACAGCACAAATCCTCATTATACTTTTTGGTATTGCCGTTATTTACAGTGCCTAATTATCTTGTTTGTGTTACTGTGATTTTTTTGACAGATAATATAGAAGTTTCCACACATATATCAGGAAATTCAATCTTATAGAGAGAAAATGAGACGGTTATCAACATGTTGCATAATCAATTTAATTCATTTCAGTTAGATTCTTATCTTTCATACTCTTCTTTTATGTAGCCACATGCATCATGTAGCTTCGAGGCTAAACATTAGGCAGAGGCAGGATATGTGTGTGCAGCCATAATGAGCTTGCTTTTCAATAGGAAGGAAGATTAGAATCGTATTAAATTGCATGTTAATGGAAAAATAAAGCAAAACATAATAGGAAGACAATTGGGGCTGCTGTTAAGTCTGGATCACAGAACACAGTTCTGCTATTTATCGGTTGAATGTTGAGTTTCCTTTGGATCTTGCCCTTAATTACGTTAAGGATAATACATCCTGAGTGTTCCTCGTCATGTGAAGCAGGGCTGTGGTCAGGCTGACCGTGAGGCCAGAGGGCGCCTCCGCTACGTCACAGGCAGCCCTTGGAGTCACAGGTGAGGCACCCCCGCCGGGGCATTCACTGTGACAGGTGCAGGCTCCAAGGGCGGACACGAGSGGCAGCTGACACGCCGCAGGGCCCTGGGGATTCCTGCAGAAGTGCTGGGTGCTTCTCTGCTGGGTCGTCCTGTGCCTGGGACACAATCCTCTTCCTTGTCACACATTACGGCTCTGAGCTGGCTGGACACGTGCAGTCCTGGGACTTGAGGCAGGGACCTGTTTAGGCCAGGTCTGGGACTGGCCACCCAGCACAGGTTTCTCTGAGGTGAGGATGCTTCCCTGCAGAGGCTGCCCCGAGCATCAGGGCAGAGCCGCGGAGAGAAACCGACMGCGTTCCTTTTCCTTTCCCGTGTCCATGTGTGTGTGGCTGACAGCGGGATTATCCCAGGCTGGGATGGAGCCCTTGCAGAGGAGCAGGTGAGGGGGTGTGAGTTAGGTGATGGAGCCCAGGTCCGAAGGAGGACCCCTGGAGTTTCTGTCTCTCATGTGACCAAGACCCTTTCTCGTCCCTGCCTGGGCCTCAGCCTCAAGGGCAGCAGGCAGCAGGTTGTCTGCAGCCTTCTTTGAGAACTAGCAGAGAGAGCTTCCAGCCTGGGGAGAGAGGGGAAAGAACTCACAGAGTGACTTTGAGGAGTGGCAAGCAGCTCCATGCCTGGGGCACACGCCTTGCAGGGTCTGGGTGGGAGCAGCAGAGGCCAGGCAGCCATTGGGCACCCTTGGTTGTGGCCCACAGGCCGGGTTGTGGGGAGCTGGCTTTCCAGAGCCCCTGAGCTGGGATGGGGGGCAGGACCCCCTGGAAAGCTGGGCCGCTAGAGCAGAGTGCTGGTTGGAGTCTGAGGACAGACGGGGAAGCGTGTCCGGCAAGAGCCATCAGGAGGCAGGCACAGTGGTCCTGGGACAAGGCCACTAATGAGGGAGGTGGGCAGGTAGGTGAGAACCGGGTGGGGTAGGAGGAGGACTGAGAGGCCAGGGCAGCAGCCAGAGAACCTGGCTCTGCTGGAGAGCCTGGGCACAAGGGGCACACCTCTGCCCTCAGGAGGGTGGCACAGAGTCCTGGAGAGAGACAAGGCACTGGGTCAGGGGTACCACCTTGCCTCCACTCTCCCCAAGGACAGACCCCATTCTTATGGGTGATGGGTTGGGGTCAGCAGACCCTGCCCAGGCTCCATCCCYGGGCCACATGCTAGCACCTGTTCTCCCCCAGCAATGAGCTTGGAGCCTGCACTTCCTGTATTTCCACTGGCTGCCACAGGGAGGCAAGGTCCACCCTGGGACTGAGAGAAGACAGTGGACAGTAGGGCAGAGGGAGTCAGCCTTCTGCAGGAGCCCAGAATCCAGGCCCATTAGGGTCACAGACCCTGAACTTTTCCAACGGGTCCAGAGGGTGACAGTAACCAGGATTACCATCATATGCAGTGGCAGATGGGCACTGTGGCCATGCCCAGGACACAGCTCCCCATCCRGGGCTCAGTCCTACCCTGCAACTGGAGAGCAGTCCATCACAGAGGCCCCTCTGGCTCTGGCCCTTCACCCTTGGAAGTGGGCTGGATGGCCGGAGCTGTCCAGGGACTCTCCAGGAGGCTCCCACACTGGACTGGTGGTGCCCCAGGATCAAACCACTCTTTACTTCACGGAGGGTTATTCTCAGTTCAAAACACATCTGAAATAGAAAAACCCCTGGTGAGCCCGTTTAGATCTCTCCCTCCACAGGCAGTCAACCACACAGGAGGGACCCAGGACGCTTGTCCAACGGGAGGACAGGTGGGGGCTGCTTTCCAGGACAGGCCTGAAGGGRTGCAGCAACACCCCCCACCAGTCTCCCGCAAGAGCCGGATGTCCAGGTGGAGGCAAGCTGGTCCCCAGCCAGGCCGTCCCTCTCCACAACCCAGTCCCCACACAGCACAGGGGTTGAGAGAGCCCCTGCATTGCTACCTGCCCAGTGGGCACGTGGCACTGAGCCCACAACCTCACAACGGATACACCAGTGTGTGACACATTAACTTACTAACTATACCACTTGTTATTGTCCAAGCTGAACGAAAACACCCCAATGCAAAATGGAAATACAGCTTCTCCCCAAATTGTTATTATTTAATAACTCAAAACCTGTGGTTTGAGAGACCAGTGAACCTGCTAGACCTTAAACATGTCACTACAGACACCTCTCGGGAACATCAGGGTCCCTTTCGGTATCCCTCACTTTGCAGCGGTCAGTCGGAACTGGTGCTGGTCCACTGGAATGTTGGAGCTCGGAGGACAGTGACTGTTRGGAAGAGTGGCATGTGCTGGAGGCTGGGGCTTCTACAGGGGACTTGTGGGGTTCCCTTCGAGCATTAAATGACGTCTCTCTTTTGCCCACAGACCAGCAGTACTCGTGGTCCCCGACGCAGCACTTCAATGAAGAACGGTACTCCCCGGCTCCCAGGAACATGAAAGGCTTGTCTGGAAGCCGGAACCCGCCGCCGCTATGTGCAGGCCACACCTGTGGCGTGGCGCCCCCTGCCGACTGCGAGCACCCGCTGGACCACCTCCGCCACGGGCCGGACACGCGGCAGCCCTACCTGCTCAGCCCGGCCGAGAGCTGCCCCATGGACCACCACCGCTGCTCTCCGCGGAGCTCCGTGCACTCCGAGTGCATGATGATGCCCATGGTGCTGGGCGACCACGTGTCCAGCAGCACCTTTCCCAGGATGCACTACAGCTCCCACTACGACACCAGGGACGACTGCGCCATGCCCCACCTGGGCGCCAAGATCAACCGCATCCCCGCCAACCTCCTGGACCAGTTCGAGAAGCAGCTGCCCCTGCACAGGGACGGCTTCCACACGCTGCAGTACCAGAGGGCCTCGACGGCCGCGGAGCAGCGCAGCGAGAGCCCGGGCCGGATCCGGCACCTGGTGCACTCGGTGCAGAAGCTCTTCACCAAGTCGCACTCCCTGGAGGGCTCTTCCAAGAACCACGCGGACGGCACCAAGGGCGACGGCCGGGCGGACGAGCACCACCACGGCCACCATGCCAGGCACGGCAAGCGGAGCCGCAGCAGGGAGCGGAAGCCCGAGGCCAAGCACAAGTCAGGCTCGAGCAGCTGGTGGAGCTCGGACGACAACCTGGACAGTGACAGCACGCACCGGGCGCCCAGCGTGGTGAGCCGGCACCACCTGGACCCCTTCCCCCACTGCTACCCCGAGGCCCTGCAGAGCCCCTTCGGGGACCTCTCGCTGAAGACGTCCAAGAGCAACAACGACGTCAAGTGCTCGGCCTGTGAGGGCTTGGCCCTGACGCCGGACGCCAAGTACATGAAGCGGAGCTCCTGGTCCACGCTCACYGTGAGCCAGGCCAAGGAGGCCTACCGCAAGAGCTCCCTGAACCTGGACAAGCCGCTGGTGCACCAGGACATCAAGCCGCCCCCGCGGCAGTGCCACTACCTCCAGGTAAGGGCCCCCCAGCGCCTGGCCCAGGGCGGCGCTGGTGGCTCTCAGTGGGCAGAGCCCATGAAGGTGCGGTTAGACKGTCGGGACCCACCCATTGTGGGCTGAGCCAGGAGCTTGGGTCCTACTCTTGGCCTGTTTTTATTTTGACACATTATTTGTGCRATGTGGGAGGCAGTGGGCAGCTCCATGCGGGTACACAACAGGTAATGATCAGATGGGGGGCAAGCTCTTCCGGGTCTCAACATCCACCGTTTCTGTGGGAACCGGCCAGCTCCTCTTTTCTGCCTGTGTAGAGTGTAGAGCTGAGCACACACTGCAGCTGCGCTCCGTGAGGGCACTCTGGAACTCCTGTCCGTCCACCTGGAGTCTTGGGTCCCATGCCCAGCCCCACTGCTGGTGGCCAACCTTCGTGGCTCTCGGCCCCGGCATGGTGAGACCAGGAGGGCTCGTCCTGGGCCTCGCCCGTTGCACTTAGCTGGTGCCCTCCTGGTTCACCTTGCTGCAGGGGCAGGATGGGCCACTCTGCTGAGGCTGAGGCTCTTCCCTGTGTCAGTAGGACCACGCCTCCTCAGCCCACCCAGCCCTGGGCTCTGCTCCTCGCCATCCTGGCTGCCGTCACGGTGCTGCCGGGATGGCATCAGTTTTGACAGGTGGCAGAGAGGTGACCTCAGGCCCTTCTGGGGGTCTCTGAGGCCCCCGGCTGCTCCCTGGAGCCCCTCCACACCATCGCCATTCCCTTGGGACCCCCAGGGCTGGAGGCCTTGGACACAGCGGCAAAAGCACATCTGCCTTCACAGGAGCCCTGGGTGTGGGAGCCGCCCCTGGCAGAAGCCTGACATTCACGCCCACCTCCTGCTCCTGGGAGTGGCATCCCTGAGCCCCCAGGCAGGAGGTCGGACTGTGGGAAGGAGTCTGTCTCTGTGGTGCTGATGAGATGAATTCACAAAGGCAAAACAAACTGCAGACAGCGGCTGGCGAGAGCTGCACACTGCAGACCTCTGTGCGTCAGGGACGCCTCCCTCTCCTCACCCTGCTGTCACCAAGAAAGCCAGATGGGCCCTGGAGGTGCCTGCTCCACTGAGGATGCAGGGCTCAGAGGCCGCYGGCTTGGCATCAGGCTGATACATGTCACCACAGGTCCCCTCTATTGCCTGAGAGCAGGTGCAGCGGCCAAACGCTGCTTCAGGGAAATGCTCCTAGCACGGAGTCACCCTGCTCACTGCAGTGAAGTCACCAGGCAGCCACCTAATGGGACAGAAGGACAGCTCTGCCTCCGTCCAGGAGTGCCGAGTTGGCAAGCCCTCCCCATGCCAGGCTCAGGGGCTCTGTTCTGAGAGGGGAGGTACCCAGTTGCTTGCATGGCAGATTTATGCAAAGAGACAGATTGGTTGTTGCATAAAACATTATTTATAGCAGTGGGAGAGACTTATGCTTTGATTATCCTTGGCCAGCCTCGATAGTATCCAAGGGTAGAGACCCGTCTGCTTATCTAAAGGACCGTGGTGGCTAGAAYGGGGTCCAGAAGCAAAGCTCTTGTTTTTTTTCCCACTTGAACCTGAGGCACCAGTAGATGGGTCGGTGGCACAACAGTGACRTTGCACTGGGTCCACGTCCCTGCCACACCTGCTCGGCAGTGTCCTGGGCTCTCAAGTCTACCTGCGGCTACCCCCACAGCCCACGCTGTCCTCYACCCTCCGGCCGCCCTTGTGATCCTGTGGCAGAGGCAAGGGGCACACACACGTCCAGAGCACAGGTAGCATAAGGTCCCAGGCCCTGTGGCCACCATCAGTTGAAGCAGACCCCACATCTCACACAACTGCCGCAGCAGACGTTCCCATGTTTGTCCCTAAAAGGTCCACGCTGAACGACAAGGTCAGATGGTGAATCGCAGCCATGATGCAGGAGCAGACACTGAAGGCAGTAGCTCTGCGCATTAGGTCACACTGGCCTTCCCCAGCTCCAGCCTCTCCTTCCCAGTTTGTTTGAGCCGGGATGCGATGAGGGGCCTCCTGAACCTCCCGGTCCACAGGTTTCTCCTCTCTTCCTCTCTTCCCACCCTGGAGGGTTTGGTTTTTGAACTTCATAGGCAGCATGCCCCCTCGGCCCTGCTGCTTGGGCTCTGATCATGGTGTCCAAGGTCCAGTTCCGTAGGTGGGTGGAGACCTGCCCAGGGCCTGCAGTCCCTGCTTTCTGCACTGGCCTGGCTGGGCCACCTGCCTGTGGGCCTCCTGCTCCCTCTGCCATGCTCCCTCCATCTCTCACAGGGGTCAGTCATATTTTTCAGCTGTCTTCTACGAGCTTCAAGGGGAGGAACAGTGTCGATCTTCCCCCCACCTTCTGGGTCTCTCCACTGCCCCCTGCAGCTGGACGGCACCTGAGAGCAGCTGGCTGTGTGCCCCTGTGGTGGAGGGCAGGCGGGTGGAGCCGTGACTTAGACAGATGCGTGTTCCAGGCTTCAAACATCATGTCTTTTATAGAACAGGAAGCTGCTCTGGCCCTGGGAAGAGGCCACGCGGGGAGCACGCAGGCCTCCGTGGCAGAGCCCTGGTATCAAGTGGCCCTGCACATGACAGGGAGGACGGCCCCCGCACCCTTCCCCCCTGAAGACTCTGGTGCCCCCGTAGCAGGCCTAGCCTGGCGCCAGCCTCCCTCCCACCCCAGCTGGGATGACACGGGCCACAGCCAGGGGGACATTGCAGCAGCAAGGAGGGTAGGGGCACCCCAKGAGGCCACGCGGCTTCCAGGACCGCTCTGTCGCCTCCCTCGGCAGCAAGCTCTCCCCTCTCCGCCTCTCAAGGAAAACAGGCACATTCTGGAGGCAGCCCAGGGACTGTCCCTTCTCATTGTCCTCTGGAGGTCACGCAGGCTCTCTGGGCAACACTGATGAGGACGCAGCACAGATCACGCTCCGTCTCCTCGGGCTGCGTTTGTCCGAGTGCTAGGCTGAACTGGTTGTCAAGGACGCCGTCCGGGGTGGGTCCCTGCTGATTACAGGCAACTTCCTGGTGGAAGATAGAGGCATCTGGGCTCACGCAGAACACAGGGAGCTGGAGGACCTGGGCTGCGGGGCTCCTGTGGGAGTGGGCCAGAGGGAGGAGAGGGGAGAGTGGGTGTTAGTGCGCGGATGTGGTGAGCACCGCTAGGCCTCGTGGAGAGCTGAGGCTCGGGCTGGCAGCGGCCCCGCGTGCCTCCTGCCTTGGTGTGTGGCGCTCACAGCTGCACTCCAGGAAGAGTCCTGACCTCAGTGGGTCCAAACAGGTGAGCGAGGGCCACGGGCAAGGGTGGCCTGGCTGCCCCTTCACAGTGCTCCTGAGTCTGCGTCTTCCACTTCAGTGGAGAGAGGTCCATGGCCGGGAGACGTGTTCCCTGGCTCACCTGTCCTCTGTTCGCCCCAGTTGGCCTCCACGTCCTCTGCAGTGTGGCCCCCTGACCGCCACCCGCTGTGGTCTGTGCCTGCCCTTGCTGGCCACTGCCAGGAGTGGGACAGTGGACCCCAAGAGGCTCCACTCCTGGGCCTCSGAGGAGCCTCCAGGCTGGTCTCCAGTGCGCCTGGTCCAGGTCCCACATGGGTGCAGACACGGGTGCAGAGCCGCTCTCCCGCCTCCGGCGTCTGCGGTCGGACTGTTTGGACAGCAGCGACRTCTCTCGGTGGTTTTGATTGGCATTTCCCTGAGGACTGACGGTGCTGGGCACTTTGTCAGGCACTTGTCTGTCTGATTGAGGGACGCCTTCCCTCCACAGGATCACTTTTCTCAGTTCCTCCCTTGTTCTGGTGTTCACCCCTCATCAGACAGTGAGCTGGAAAGCTTCCCTCCTATTCCTTAGTCTGTCTCCTAGTCTGCAGAAGCTCCTCGGCTTCTATTTGTCTGTTATTGCTTTGGTTGCCTGGGCTATTGGGGTCTTTTAAAAGAAGAAAAACCATTGCCTGTACCCATTTTGGAAGTGCCTTCCCTGTTTAGTAGTCTTGGCATTCGGGGTCTTACATTCAGGCTTTGGTTCACTCAGAGCTGATTTCTGTGCAGGGGGAGAGACAAGGTCTTTCCGTCCTCCTGCTCGGGAGGCCAGTCTTCCCACAGGGTCTGCCTCTGGCACGTTTGCCAGAGATCCCGGGTTATTCTCGGGCCTTGGTTCTGTCCACTGCCTGTAGGCGTTTGTGACTGCCGCCTGCAGTCTTGGTTATCCCAGTCCTGCAGTAGGTGTGCCTGGACATCGGGGGCCTGGGTTATTGATCTCAAGGACTTTGACTGTTGGGGGGTCTGGTGATTCCATAGGAACCCTGGGATGTCCCTCATTTCCTGGAGAATGCCGCGGTTGTTGATGGCAGTCACGTTGAGTCAGTAGGTTGCTCTGGGTAGGATGCTCATGACCAGTTTCCTGCCCTCAACACGGGAGTGCGTTCCGCTTCTGTGTCCTCTCCAACTTCTTCCTCCGTGTCTTATCATCTTCCTGATGGAGGCCGGTGTTCCTGGGCCCTGTGGCTTCCCTCTCAGCGAGCTCCTCCTGGTGAAGACCACGTTGGTGGGTTTGCATGCCACCTGRCTGAGCTCACTTACCAGCCCCTACCACCTCTTGGTGGTCAGGTCTCCCTCTGCTGAGGACCCGGTCAGCTGCAAGCAGGGAGAGTCTGGTCCCCTTCCCTGGCTGAATGCCTTTATCTCCTCCTCCCCCAGGGGCTCTTTGGTACCTGTGGGATGTCTGCGGCCACGCTGCGTCCTCCCTGTTGGCATGTAGTTCTCTCTATGGCTATGCCCTGTCTGGTGCTGGCCTCAGGGTCATGCTGGCCTCATTGAATGCCTTGGTTCAGTTGTTTAGAAGGGTCTGGGCATTCCTTCTTTAAAAGTTTGGTGGAATTTAGGAGCGAAGGTCTCTGCTGGGACACGTTCACGGCTGGTTCACCCAAGTATCCTGTCGCTGGACTAATTCAGGTTTTCTGCCCCATGGTTCAATTTTTTAACTTGTGGCCAGATCCATCAACGTCTTCCAGGTTTTGCAATTTGTTG